TAGTTTTGCTATTTTACACAAAATGATGCGAACTCTTTGCAGTCTAAAAAGGAAGGTCGAAAAAAATTGGGTTTGACTTTTCCGAAAATGCATCAAAGCTCACTTCAAATTATGCCAAAAGGTCACTGAAACATTTAAACCCGGATAAGAAATTAAGCCACTCCAATGTGCTCCAATTAGCTCACCGCCTTATGCCCCTTAAGTTCCCCCGTAACCATCATCATCATCATCATCATTAATTTCCTTCCCTTTTCCTTCTGCCGCTTTGATTCAACGGTTGCGAGTGTGTGTGGTAAGAGCAATTGTCATGAACCCATTTGAATTTTCCTTCTTCGAGATAACATAGAGCGCACATGTCCCTACCGCCGTGTGTGGTACAATAGAGCACACGCGCGCATACACATACTGCCTCGTTGACCTACAATTGCCAAGCTAGGTGAATAACCTTTGCAGTCAGCAGCAGCGGTAGAAACGACGGCAGCAGCCACAAGCAAAGTAGGCGCAGCACCAGTAGCGAGTGGCTCTCTCTCTTTCTCTCTCTCTCCCCCAAGTGTCTAGCATCAGCTCGCCGAGCATAGCAGGCAGCGAAATGAAAAGTGAAAACGACCGTCATCAACATTGCGCTGAACCGAGTCTGGGGCCGAACGAGAGATCTGGGGAACCTACGTCAGAGAGCCGAGGTGGGAAACTCGAGCGGAGTACCCTGGTGGAGTTCGTTCACCTCGTTCGGCTAGGGCCCAGGGTTCTCTCTCTTTCTTCTCTCTTTTTTATGCTTCTACATTCATGGTGAACGACCTGACAATGATTCCCACTGTCGTTGTGATGAAGCCTAATATCTGTCAAAAAGCCCACAAAATGATTTCCACCTTCGAAAATTTGTGGTCGGAATAAAAGTCCCACAATCGTGAAGAGAAAGTTTTTTTTAAAGCGAAATTCCCACAGCAAATTGATCTAGTCAACCATGCGCCAAAAGGGCTGCCAAGAAGCCCGGACACGTCATCAGAGTCATTAAATGCATTTTTTGTCGGTTGCAAAAGAGCGATGAGGCATTTACGTGCAACAAAGAAATGAAATGATACTTGAAACTGTCGCCCTCGATTTTCGGTACTATACACACCCCGATATGTGAGTGTGCATGAATGTCTGGCGATGGCGTCTTCTTGTTGTTGATTTTTTATGGCTACTCGGTTTCTTAACCTATAAAAAAATGGTACAAAGAAACACAAACAGCACCCTCATTGCAATGAGGAACGATGGGGAGCAGAAATGAGAACACCACACCAACCGAACGAGAAGGCAACGTACCAAACACAGCGTCGAGCAACACATGTGTGTGCTGGTTTTAAGTTTTGAGGTCATTTTCTGCCCAAAAAAATTACCAATCGAATATGACAAAGGCGAAAAGAAAAACTTTATTTGGGTTTAGCCCTAATTTCATAAGAGCGCGCGAATGTGAACGCATGGTGGTCTAGTTTAGAGTTGTGGAGATTTCGCGCATAGTCCTACTACCAACTAGACCGTCGTCGCTCATGATGAATAGCAGGAGCATCTTCTCAGTATCGATATGCTGAGAAGAGGCGCCTGAGTTGATGGTAAAGGTACGGTCACACTGGCATCCGATATCGGACAAGACAATATTTTTTGCGGCGGTATAAGAGAGACAACTAGTACTAGTGTCTCTCTCATACCGCAGCAAAAAATATCGTCTCGTCCGATATCGGATGCCAGTGTGGCCGTACCTTATGCTAACCCAAGCAGCAGGCGGCGAATGGAAGAAGCAAATGGTATAATCTTTTTTCATGAATTGTAAAACAAGTGAACGACCGTGCATGACCGAATTAAGAGTCAACGACATCGCAGCTTGCCTTCGTTTTTCCATACGCTCATTCAACATACTCACCAACACACCCCAGCAGATGGGGCCAACTGGGGAGCATGACGTCTCGTTCTCACATTTGCAATTCGGCCTGCTCGGGTTGCTCGCTGTCTCGCTCGGTCTACGACCCGGAGAGCTTTATGTAAGCGCAGCGCCTGCTATGGGTGTATGAGTGTGGTAGTCCTCTGAATGTTACTTTCGAAAGTAGAAGGCTAGGCGTTCGCTCTATAACATAGGTGCAAGTGAGATAGTAAGACCTACTAGATCGCAGGACTGTCCTATGTGTGCATCGGGTTACTGACCGCGGTTGTTGCTTAGGACAGTTAGACGATCAGTCCCTCTTACCAACCCACCACCCCCGAGGCAGATTTGTTGGAATTTAAATACTGAACTGTGTCGCGTTCGCACTAACCGACAATGACGGTGGTTTGCGTTTTCGTCATTGCTACTATTGTCTGCTGAACAATGACACAAAAATGAGATCTCCATCGTTTGAATGGGTCCTACTTAAAATGCGAACGGTAACTGTGAATTGGGCGTGAATTTAGAAAACGAAAGTTTTCGTGACTATTCAGCTAGAGTAATTGATATGATACAATCATTGCAAATAGAAATTGAACGATAGATTCCAAGAATACCAATGCAGCAAGTTGAATACAAACCATAAATGCTCGATTACAACGTTAAAATGTTATGCATACGAATATCGGGCTGCCCATTTCCGCTTAGCTATGGTGCCAAAAAAAGCATCACATTTGCATGAACCCCTTCCGGCGCTCGTTAGTTGTTGTGTGCCAGTTTTCCACTCCATATTCATTAGATGGTTGGCAATCAAAAGGTGATTGACATTTCTCTCTCCCGCTTTGTTGCGCACCTTTTTTTCTTCGTCAAGAGGTGATTACGAAACAAGAGAAAGTGAAATTTTAGATTTCACACGCACCGCTTTTGAGCGCTCTTCTTCGTCTCCTTACCTTTCGCACCAACACAGACGTACGTGAACGTGCTTTACACGCTTATTTCATAATAGCGCCCGCCGCATTGACAGTCATGTTTGTGTGAAAGCGCCGACGCGCATTGGAAGTAGCGCGCTTCGCTCAACTCAGCAAGCTTTGCCTTAAGGTACGGCCGCACTGGCATCCGATATCGGACGAGACGATATTTTTTTGCGGCGGTATGAAAGAGTAAAAAATATCTTCTCGTCCGATATCCAATGCCAGTGCGGCCATACCTTTATCCTCATTTTTGCACTGTGCACAATGCCTACTTTGATGGAGCGTATTTATTGCACTGCACACACCGCCTCCGAGACGCAAAAATCGAGCTCGAGGACACGGTGGAGGCCTTAAGAAAACCTCCACCGAAAAATATATATACTGAAGAAGTAGTAATCGCGTGGCGCGAGATAAAAAAATAACATGGCACAAATTTAGGAGACAATCGAAATTTGTGTGTGTTTGAAACTTTTGAGCTACTTGCCTAACGATTGAGAGCGTACACACGTTTGCCAGCGACGACGACGACGGCACGGTGGTGCGAAATTACCTTGAAACAGAATGAAACCAGCAAATACCTGCCACGTTCCAAGGTAGATTTGGTGGAGTAGGCATATAAAAATGGAATGCAAACAACATACGATTGGGTCCAGCGCCAACAAGTGTGTCCTCAAACGAAGGTAAAATGCAGCAATAGTTGCATTTGATGGTTTTAGAAATATGATTGAGCAACTTAACGGCTACTTAAGCTTGGAATTTTCAACTATTAAACATTTTCTTTGTTTAACTTGGTTTTTTTTCCTATAAATATATGATAGATAAAATGTTACAAAGTTCCAAAACATACAAAATGTTTCGATATTTTTGTATTGATTTTTAAACAGATCGATAAAGTTTTAAACTATCTTATTGATTTAATAGACATACAATTAGGATAAATATCCTTTAGCGATTGAACATACTTACTTTTTGTTTTGAAATTCCTTCGTATTTAAGGATTCTAAATTCTATACTTTTAGTTTGCAAATTGAGCATAAGAACATATCGCATAAAAACCCTAAATTTATTTCAGGGATAGGCATCTTCAAAATTAGACAAACAAACAGTATAATTTTCCGAGCGAACGGAAATGGTCGTATACATGTGCTGTGCATCGAAATTGAACGACTTTGTCAGGGTGACAATGGACACGAGCGCTATCAAACCTTCGATAAAGATGCAATAAATAAATAAAAAAAAATCAAGAAGAACTCCAACTCGCACCCCATCAAGGCAGTGTGTCAGGGCCTCCAAATTGTGTTCACACAAAAAACGTACGCTCTCGTCATCCCACTTGGATCGGTGGTACGTTTCTTCCATAACCCCCGAAAACACAAAAAAAAAATACACACACATCACCATCGAAGCAGGCCGCAGCTAGCGAACCAGCGAGCGAACGAGCGCGCCACAAAAGCAAGCGAATATTTTTCTGACCTAAATAGAGTTCAAAATGATTATGGCCTAGTTAGACGGTCAATGAACTTCGCTTTAGCCTCGACGTCGCTTGGCACTGTGCTGCTACCGCTGATGCTGTTGGTTGTTTTGTTCGTGGTGGTGGTTGGGGTGGTCTGTGTCGCTATATCACTTTCTATTGCGCACACTCGCAATGGGTGGGACAGAGAAGCCTGATTGGTTGGCAATGAGTTGAAGCGAGACAGAATTGCTCAACATACAGCGATACAGCGTACAATGTCGATAGGACAGGGTAGGCTGTGTGTGAGTGCGCGCGCGATGTCGCGATTGAGCCATGGCATACTCTGACGACGGACAAGAGGCGCAGGGCTGCTGGCAACTTGCTCAAGGGGGAGACCCTGGGAGCGACAAATAGCGGAATTTGCGTTCGATGCACAGCGCAGAGAGGAGGGGACCGTGAAATTGTTGCAACAATACGCGAGATTTTCGGGCTACTTCGATCAATATCTCTGATATGGATGTGTGTTGAGATTTGCTTCTCAGAGGCTTATTAGAAATTCAAGGACTTGTTTACCCTGACAACACGGTCACGTAGCGCTTTTTTCGTGCCACAAGAGCATGGAAATGTATTAAAATCGAAGGACTCGATTACTTAAATGTAGCTTACAACTATTACTCACCGTCGCGGCTCATTCCAACAGCGATGCATTTTTTCAGCCTACAATACTGACAGCGATTACGGTTTATTCGTAGTATACTACACTGCTGGTTTTTAGTACAAGGGCGATACTGAATTTTCTGCTGAATCGAGCGCCTGAAGAAGCCCTGTGAATGAGCGAGAAAGAGAACGTATTAATTCGAAGGTTGACCACCAGCCAACTACTAGTTGGTAACTATGGTAAAGAGTGTGAACTGAAGAAACAAAATAAAAAGGAGGTTGCTGAATGGGAAGGCGTCGTAGGTAATGGGTATTATAAGGAGTGAGGTGAACGTACATGATCTTCGCATAGGTTCTCCTCGAACTGCTTGCAGAGATCATTGATCAGATTGTCAGAGCAGCAGTCGCTACTGCTGCCATTGGAGCTGCAACTATTGCTGCAACTGCTGTCGTCACTGGCGGGCTCCGGAGACGCAGACAGCGACGAATGATCAGAACTCTGGGAGGACTCTCGACTCCGACAGCCACCGGAGTGCTGTTTGTGTGGCTGTTCATTGAGTATGGCACATTGACTGACGCCTTCTTCCTGCTGCTGAGGTTGAATCTGGTCTAATGATGGGGAAGAGTTCTGCTCACGGTCCCGCCCGCAATCACTAATCCACTCTTTGGCGATCGTGGTCTTCTTCCACGGACAAAAATCAATTTTCGGTGTCGTTTTCATCTTCACCGTTGGAGGATCTTCTCTCGATTGACTATCGGTACTGGGACCACTTCCAGCACCGGAACTACTTTCTAACACACATTTTTTCGATTCCTCCTTAGGAACCACTACAACTTGATTACATTGATTAGGACTACTACTGCTAGTACCACTGTCACCAGCACTTCCGCCGTTGAAGGGGTTAATCTTATTCAAATTTGAACTATTTAGAGGAGCGGATTCGAGAATTTTAACTAGTGCACTATGTGCCCTCTTGAGGCTCTGGCTGTTACTGCTACTCCCGCTGGTGCTGCTACTGCTGCTGTTGTTGTGGCTGCTCTTGTTATTGGTGACGACAACGATGTTGGAACTATTGCTATCATTCTTTAAACTACACTGACTGCTTGGAACTTTCAGACTTTTCTCAGTCTTGAGCGCCGCCGACGATTTTTCGTTACTGGCGGGCTCCTGCTGCACTGCACATCCCATTTTTTCCGTTTTCAAATTCAGACTTATCTCTGTTGAACTGACTTCAAGTCTTTCGTGGAGCGCGCGAATTTTCTTCCACCAAACTTATTGCACTTCGATATTCCTTGGATTTTTATTCCTGGGCCATGATTTCCCGCCTAACACTTTCTGCACTCTTTGACCTTTTGACAGGGTGAAAATTTGAGGTATATCTCTGAGACGCACAGACGACGCACTAGCAACGACGACGGCGACGACAACGACTACGACGACGGCTTGCGACGACTTGTGGCAGACGCTCTCTCACTTCGAGACGGACGATGCTCACATTCCAGAGTTTAATTTGCGAATGAAACTCGATGAAAACAACTCACACTTAGCGCTGTGAGCTCGCTGGCTCTGTGTGTGCGCGCTGGTCCCCGAGTAGTTTGTTTTCGATCGGGCATCGCTGTGTGTGTAGTTTGGCATTGGCAGGTCTCTTTCCTTCGTGCGCAATGCTCCACCGAGACGAGCCTCTTGCTCTAGCTCGGGGTAAAATGATGCCCTACCACCGTTATTTCTGCTGCTGTAATGCTATTTCCACCGTACACATTGAAAGCCGCATAGCGCCGCTGTGTGGCCCCTGTCGCCCGGATCTGGCTCACCAGCTGTGTGCAACACCAGCCCCAGCTATCCTAGGTCGATCACACGTCGTCGATTGGGGGATTCGTTCGATGATGGTCGAATACTAGTGATGGGGTTTTGCAGTTACTTTGGTGAAAATTGGTACATACTTGAAAAGTACGGTGCGTCTCCATTGGAGGACGATACATGGTGGTACCAAGGGACTCCATGGCTTTTTTGAAGAACCGTATTTTTCTACAACTTCTGCAACTGCAACCCATGTGTCGTAAGATGTCAAAGTGACCTAAACGCCACCATGGTAAATTTTCTTTTTTCACCATTATTCGAGTTCTGCATCCTTAATGACACCCACCAAACATGAAGATTATTATTTTTAGCTTCGTTTAGATCATATTTAACAGATCCAGTAATAATCTTGTAAATTTTCGTAATCATACCGGTGTTAAACAAAAATCTCTGTTTTTTTTAACAAATTCGCAAATTTATTAAATGGATTTATATCACATTGTCATCTCACGCAGTCCAGCCGGACCGCAATTGATCTTTTCAAAAACCGCCAGTTTGGGCTAGGAGGGAAATCATTTACAATAGAATCGTATATCAAATTATCGTTTAAATAACAGTCAGGATTTCTTATGCATTTACACGTACCCTTACCCTTATAAATGTTCTACACCACTTGCTCATACTTGAATGAAGAATCATGTTTTCTTTAGACTGCAGAATTATAATATATTGAATACCACACAAAATTCCCACCACAGATAAAAATTATGAATTTTAATTGTGATGTAAACATTCATTCACGTAAACTTGTATTTCATTTCACGCAACCGAGCAACTTGAAAACAATGTTGTTTACAAAGATGGGCTTTTGTATACAATATTTGCAACATTGCATGAAATGTGTCAGAACTTTATATGATATATAATGTAAACGTATATGACATGTGACGCTCCATTTATGTACATCATATTGAATTTACACTACTTTTTCGAACTGTGTAGGTATTAGCTTTCTAGTATGAAGCGATTTTAAAAGCTGTAATTTCCATACTAGCCTGGAAAATACTTACTGACTGTAAAAAAAGTAAACATGAAAATGGCTGAAAAAAGGTCCAAAAAGCCTTGAATGTCTATAGCGTGTCAAAAGGATAAGATTGCCTTAAATACACCAATATCACCCTTAAAAATCACAAAGGCACCGGTGTTAAAATGCCACAATATTCTGAAAAAAATCACATTAAACGCAATAATTGCAAAGAAAAGCACATAAAAATGCAATATAGGGGAAATTGATGTAATGTCGGTCTAAATGCCCTTAATTTTGGACCCATACATAAATTCAGCAATCGACTAAATTTTTCAATAGCGATTAAAAATATGCATTAGTACCGTCCCAATGACGTGTTCATCTAGATAAAATTGATAATAGAAGATTTTTAGCGATGGGCCCAATCTTAGATCCATAGGCCAACATTAGAGCTATTTCCCCTATTACCTTAAAATGCTTGCACGGGTTCAAAGAGACCCAACCATTAATTGTCCTAATTACCATTAAAACGCCTAACAAACAAAGAAACCAAAATAAAACCACTAAGACGCTAGACAAGAAGACTTCTAACAATTTTAGTTCTATCGTGGCTCTATAGAGGTTCATAAAGCTTAGAGATAGCCTTGTAATGTTATAATGGTCCTGTAAATTTAAAAAGTACCTTACAGCTCCAATGTGTGACAAATGTCCCAAAAATGCCAAAAAAAAACCGCTTTGAAATGCAGAAAAACGTTGAAAATTTTCAATATAGCCCACCCAAGTAACAATCTCAGTGCCTTTCAGGTTGATTGGAGTTTCATTAATGTTTTATGAGGGCAAAAATTATTCCATTTAGTTTTATTAAGTAATGAACAAAAGTTGTTTACTTATATGACACTGTAAAGGGTGATACGGTCAAAATTTGGTCAATATCAACTTGACGTATTTCTTTCAATTTTGCATTTAAAAAACCTGAACACCCCTCATTTTGAAGGTGTGTGTGTGTAGAATGTTGCTCCTATTTTGATTTTGGAATTCACTCTTCAGTTGTCAAAATGCCGTCCAAGCAAGAAGAGCAGCGTATCAAAATTTTGCTCGCGCATCGCGAAAATCCGAGCTACTCGCACGCAAAGTTGGCAAAATCGCTAAAAGTTGCCAAATCAACCATAACAAATGTAATTAAAGTGTTTGGGGAACGTTTGTCGACAGCCAGGAAGTCTGGATCGGGGGGAAATCGAAAACCGGAAGCCGCTGAGACGACAAAGAGAGTTGCCGGTAGTTTCAAGCGAAACCCTAACCTCTCTCTCCGAGATGCCGCAAATAAGCTGGGTGTATCGTCTACAACCGTGCATCGAGCCAAAAAACGAGCCGGACTATCGACTTACAAGAAGGTATTGACTCCAAATCACGATGATAAACAAAATACGACGGCCAAAGCGCGATCCCGGAGGCTGTACACGACGATGCTGACGAAGTTTGACTGCGTGGTAATGGACGACGAAACCTACGTCAAAGCCGACTACAAGCAGCTTCCGTGACAGGAGTTTTATACGGCAAAAGGAAGGGGAAAGGTAGCAGATGTTTTCAAGCACATGAAACTGTCAAAGTTCACAAAGAAATATCTGGTTTGGCAAGCCATCTGTACCTGTGGCTTGAAAAGCAGCATTTTCATAGCTTCCGGGACTGTCAACCAAGAAATTTACGTGAAAGAGTGTTTGAATAAACGTCTGCTGCCTTTCCTGAAGAAACACGGTTGTTCCGTACTGTTTTGGCCGGATTTGGCATCTTGCCATTACGGTAAAAAGGCCATGGAGTGGTACGCCGCCAACAACGTGCAGGTGGTTCCCAAGGACAAGAACCCTCCCAACACGCCAGAGCTCCGCCCAATTGAGAAATACTGGGCTATTGTCAAGCGGAACCTAAAGAAGACCAAAAAACTGCTAAGGGCGAGCAGCAGTTCAAGGCAAACTGGCTTTCTGCGGCGAAGAAGGTGGACAAGGTGGCTGTACAAAATCTGATGGCAGGGGTCAAGCGTAAGGCCCGGCAATTCGGATTTGGAAAAGCGGAAGTCTAACTGAATATTTTTCCTAAATTTTATACTAATTGAACTCGAAAAAGAAATTTAATTTGATTTTTTAAATAAACGATTTCACCGATTTACACGCGTTTTCCCTTGACCAAATTTTGACCGTATCACCCTTTATATCGAATCAAGTGGGACATGTCCTACACACAAAAATACCTGAGTGGGACCGTCAAAGCTTTGTCCCATCCACGATTTTATAACGAACATAGTTAAAAACCTGAATTAATCCTCCAATAATAAAATCTGACCCTTCTTA